TGTGTGTGTGTGTGTGTGTGTGTGTGTGTGTGTGTGAGAGAGAGAGAGAGAGAGAGAGAGAGAGAGAGAGAGAGAGAGAGAGAGAGAGACAGAGAGACAGAGAGAGAGAGAGAAAGCCTTGCAGCACGGTCCTCGACATGCGCAGTTTGTCATGGTAATAGTCCGTTGTCGCATCGTCAGCGATGACGAGGTCCTTCCATGTCCCGCCTGTCATGGGCTTCACCCACCATCGTGGGGTCTCTCTCGGCAGCACCCCTGCGACAATGGCATTCGCGAGGAGGAACGGCGTGTCCCAAACACCTGGTGAGGACTGCACGTCCAACAATGCCTGCCCGATGGCTGCCTCCCTTGTCGCCTTCTGTCTGGCGAAACCCTGCAGCACACCGTTCACTGTCTGAGGATGGCTGGATATCGCGACCAATGATGCCACCAACAAGCTCTTCTCCCGGACTGTCAGTTCCCTTCCCTCCCGTTCCTCCGCTCCCATGTGCTCCATTGTTGACGAACACCGACAGACGTGCCTCCGCTCCCGTGCGCCACGTGTTGCACCTTCGACAACCACAAAACGATGGGTGTCCTTGCTTCGATGACAAGAAAAGGGCTTGCACACTACACCCACAACTGTTATGGAGGATGTGGGGCATGCTCAGTTCGCAGCCCATCAGAGTTGCATTCCCCCCCCCCGAGGCATTTCAACGTCATTGAAATTTCAACATCGGTGGTCGTTCGGGAGGGTGGGCATTTTGAGGCTTCGGGGCTTACCAAGGGGCGGGGCATGCGAAGCACCAGTAGCTGCCCGGAGGAGGCCGAGGAGGCCGGCCCTTGAGTTTTGAACATTCCGAAATCGAAATGGTGTGGGTCCACTTTTCTCAAATAGAAGAGTAGTTCGGATAGAACACGTGCGACTTGTGTTCGAATACAACATGTACCCTTTCTACTCGAATTTCAAAAAGCAAAAACTCGTGTTCCAATAGCATATTACGTTTCCTTTTTTTTTTGGGAGGTCAGTGCCTGCCCTTGTGCTCCCCGCACCATGCAGGTCTCTCTCTCTCTCTCTCTCTCTCTCTCTCTCTCTCTCTCTCTTACACACACACACACACACACACACACACACACACACACACACACACACACATTCTGTTGTTCATTGGTGGAGAGCGGCACCTGCTGGAAACTGGGTCCAGAGGGCCCCACACACTCTTCGAGCTGTGTAGAGCGAACATAGCAAAACATAGGGCCTCGCCACACCACTATCGAAACACGAATTTTCCATAGTTTCGCATCGCCACACAGCCTATCGAAAAATGCAGCTTCGAAAATTTTAGATAGGTGTCAGACATGGGAATTCGATACCCCTATCGAACGAAATGTGCACGTCCGCCTGCAATCGCCTTCTCTTCGATAGCCCACATTCCGGACCATCAAAAACCGCCCACACACGCGCTAGACGACAGGACCCGGACACAGACGACAAGTCGAAAGCCGACCCGGAAGGGAAAACATTCGATACCCCACTGATTCGACAGTGCTGTGTGGCGAAAGGGGGGGTTTCTATCGAAGTCCGGACTATCGAATTTTTCTGACACATCTCGAAAAAAAACGCGATTCGATAGTAGTGTGGCGAGCCCATGCGCACACCATAACCCCAACCGCATCACAAACGAACAAGTCGCGACGTCAGCACTTGAAACGGAAGTGCGCTATTTCCAAGTGTTTTCCTGGGCTGTGGAGCGAAAAAACGAGTTAGGGGAAATTAATCACCTCCCACCTCCCCCGCCCAAGGGCGCCGTTGAGACTCCAGTATTTTCAAGTGGTGTCGAACGAGGCCCTAAGGTTTGGAGTCGAGATTGGTCGTACACGGCGGGGTTACCGGTACATCGGCGGCGCGCGGCGCGAGTTGTACTTGGTTCGGCAGGCAGTGTCGAGTGCCGCCCCGCGACTGTCGCTTTGGCGAAAAACCACACAAATCACTAACGAGGGCGGGATATGACACCGGCGTCGCAACACCTGTTGCGTCGCGACTCATCGTCCGGGAAAGGCGGGGGTTCGACGCGGGGATACGTCGCCGTCAAGGTGACAGGTGTCGCGTGACCAGCAGGGACGGCGGCTCATGCCGCGCAGGAGGCCCCGCCGCCACACCAACCTTGCGCGGGCGACCAGAAGGGCCCGCCGCCACATCAGCGAGCGACAACCTCGACTAACAGTTTTCCCCGTCCGTTAGTAGTGTTGGCTGACGTGGCGAAGGACGACACGTCAGCACACGTCAGCACACGTCAGCATACGTCAGCACACGTCAGCACACGTCAGCATACGTTAGAACACACCAGGATCACGTCGGCAATCAGATCCGTGCCACTGTAATTGACGGAAGCGTGGACGTGGAGAGGCTATTAGGAAGGATATCACGATGCGTAGTGTACGGATGGGTATGATGATATTGGGGTCCCGACCGACCGGCATGCTGTGCGCTTCCTCCTCCTCTTCGGCGTCCTGTTCATCATCGTCACCGACGGGTCGCCACGTGTCAACAGCAGTGGCGATCTGGAATCGTCAGAGCATTAGAAGGCTAGACGAGAACCGGGCGAGCTGGACCGCGCGATTGCTGTCGAATGATTGGCGCGAATTGCGATGTGGCGGCGACGTCGACCTGGACAGAAGGTCGGTGGCAGTGAGAGCAAGCCAGGTGGGCGATGCGGAGACTACGTCGTTGGAATCGCCTCCTCAGGCCCCTCGTGCACCAGATCGGCGAGAGGTAAGTACCCAAAAAAAAAAAGAAAAAAAAGTAATCGGCCGACCGGAAGACTGCCCGGCCGCCCGCCCGGCCAGGTGGGTCAGCAGCCCGAACGGGTCCCGGGAGGCCTCTGCGCCCAGGTTCAACCGGGCATTTTCACAGCGGGTAGGGTGTTGGTCCCGCGGGCCGCGAAGCGCCTTAAAAAAAAAATGACATTGATGATGAGGATGAGGATGAGGATGAGGATGATGATGATGATGACCAGGATGATGGAATGATGAAGGTGCTCATGATCGTGATGATGATCCTGCCTCCATCTCGTCGTCCCGCCCAAGTTGTGATGGAATGATGATGATGATGATGATAATGATGATGATGGTGATAATGGAATGATGATGATGATGATGATGATGATAATTCCTCCATCGCCTTCCTTACCCGTCAATGAAGGCTCACGTTGAATGTCAATTCTTCGCTGCAATCGTTTTGTGTCGCAGCCTCTATGGAAAAGGGTGATACGAGCTGTGTAGTGTTTTTTTTTTTTT